TTCCCCCAGTGTTTGGTGGTAGTACGAGTACTCCTCGTGAAACATTTACGATCCGCACGGCAAGGCAGACTAAGACTGACAGGCTGCGCAGCCTAAGTCTCGAATTTGTCTTTTTTTTTCTGCGGCCCATGCGCTCACATGTAACTGCTGCGCTTCCTTTCTTCAGGCGGCCCCTCGGCGACTAGACTAGTGGGCAGGGAATGGGAATCAAAGCGTAGCATTTTGGCGGGTGTGCAGGAATCCAGGTTATCCCATGAGATTTCTTTTTCCTGTGTTTCACTCACAAGTAGAGGTGGTTTCTATGTGTTGTCAAGCTGTCAGACTGGATTAGGCGAGGAGGGGTTCAGATAACAACAAAAAAGGATTTTTCTATTCATTTTTCTATTCCTTTCGTGCAACAAAAGGACCGCCGGTGTGCATACGTGGGTCGATTGTCTGACACCATACGATAACCCCACATCAACAGATCAGGCAACGTCAGGTCAGGGAAAGCATCGTGATCAATGAGAGGCCTCACATTCACCCTCTCAGAAAGGTACAACTAGATGATCCCGTCTGGGCGATGTTCTGGACTTGGCTCAATGCAGGGCCCCGAACATCCGTCTCATATGAGGGGAAGTGATGTAGTCAATCACCATGTAATCAAAGGTGGAAAATCCAGTAAAGAATGTGTGATGAAAGTTGATCATGATGCTAGTATTTAGTAACGAATTTTCATTGTCCGGGAACAATCTGCTCTGGTAGAGATATACTCCGTACTCCGCACCAGACTAGAGGATGATCCCAAGTTCAACTAAATGAATGAATGCATCGACCAATTCTCTGCTGGGGGTGTGGGATAGACAATCGCCTATCGGATCGCTAGGCGCTATACTGTTGGTGGATGAGTTTGCGGTTGGTAAAAGATGAAGCAAATTATTATCTCACAGTGGGGTTTTGTCGAACTACTGGCGGGTCATTACGGAGCACAAATTCCCCTCTAAGAAATTAAGCAGTAACTGCAACAGAGAACAGTTCCTGCGAAACGCAATCCTTTGGCGGATAAACGGCTTCTAGGATATTGGCGCTTACGATGATCCTCTCTGAACGTGACGGACAGTGGGGGTCATTTTCGTTTCAATCCCTGCTTCTTCAATTCTCATTGACTTTTCTTTATCTGTTTCTTAACTCCCATTTCTTGGGTTTGCGGAGACGGTTGCCGCCGGTAGTTACCGTGGTAGTGACCCGTGACTCGCAGACTTCTCATCAAGAACAACTAACTGCAGACGGGGCGAGGTCAGAGAGGGTTATCTGCAACCGAGTGGTCAGTTAGGCTTGGCTAGGGTAGATCCGCGTCGTACTCACTCCTAAAAGAGTAATTCAGAGCATATCATGGCGCCGTGAAGCCGAGCCAGTGACCGGACTTAGACACAGGGATGGCCTTTTGCGGTTAGAGGCCTGGCCAAATCTGAGTGTCGATCCCCGGCTGCGTTGATCGCGGGGAAGATCTTCCGTCTTTCGGAGTCGAAAAAGCGGAGGAGACAATGAACAATACTTTTGCAAAGGATGGATAAACGGGGTAAAGGGAACTCAAAAATTGATTGCCACTGAGATACAGGTTTAGGTGCTCGTTCTGCTGATAACCCAAGCCCCGGGGATTCTACGGGGTCCTCTAGAATGGATCCTCCCCCTTCTAGACTATCTATGGGGTCAGGGTTGTCGCACCATGATCAGCGTCAGTCTGATTCAATAGTGCGTTGGGGCTTCATGCAGAGCGGATGCGAGGAGACTGGAAAGACCGAGAGATAGAAGAAGCCTTTTTCCCTGGCACAAAAAACCAACTACTACTAAGCGCAACGGCTCAATGCTCAGCCATACATGGGCGCTAAATCAGGGCTGGTGTTGTTGGTTGCCAAATATTACCAACACTCAAAGTAGTTGGCCCATGACAGCTCCTAAACAATAGAAATAAAATAGTATAACCACAGGCAGAATCTATCTGCCTTGGGAGGGCGGGGATAGAAAGGTTAGTACAGCCACCACAGTGCCACATCGGGGTAAAAACTACAAGGTCCCCTTTGTTGTGGATGGAGTGGTGCCATGCCAGGCTGGTCAGGATTTGAAGGAATAATCCGAACCCCCAATCAAACGGCAAGGAGGGATGCTATTTCCATCACGATCAGGCAGTGAGTGTGTGGTAGGTGGTATCCGAACAAATGAAAAGGTTGTTACCCTCTTCCCCTCCTTATCCGGGATAATAATAATATTAGTAGTAGTAATGATAATAGCAATAATAATGCGATGAGAAACGTACGTGGCTCCGGCTAGTTGGGGTGGTTACGTACAGGGCAGCGGTACCTGCGTGCCAACCTCATTCCTCTCTTTCCCCATTTGTCCCACCATCCCAAGTCTGGAGAGATGGTGGGGTGATTGCTGGGCGCCCCCTTCTTTGGGATTAATTAAATTCACTGACCGGCAAAGTGCCGGCAATCGGTCCGGCACCAGGTGTGTATGTAATGAGAGAGTGTGTGTCTGTGTTTGACCAGACAGGAGGTCCCACCCCACACAAGAAAATTTGTGCAATACACAATTATCATACAGTATAGATAAGGAAACGAGTCAGGGTTATTTCCAAGTAGGCCAACCCAAGACAGTTCGAACATGGTGTGTGTGTATTATACATACTCAGGTGTCTGCGGGGATGACGGCCGGATCCCCTCACAAATTCTAGGCGGAGAAAGAGACCATGTCCCATGCCACCTTCTGGTATCTGCAGCGGGCGGCACCTGCTCCATCAATGATCACTTGTGTATCTTCCTGCGTGTATACTACTGTGTAGTGGTCTCGTAGTGGTAGTAGTACTTTTGTTTTTTTCCTCTTCTTATCTGAAGAATCTAATTAGTCACTTTCCCCCTCCTTTCATTTCTGGTGATCGGCCAGGTCGCGACGCCTTCCTCTCTGATCCCGCCGTGCCGGGGAAACTCTCCAGGCTCCAAACAAACGAACCATTCAAGGTCACGATCCGATATCCGCTGATCGCAAAGAAGGGCCGTCAGCCGAGTCTAGCCTATCAGAGCTTGTAACAAAACCACGATATCGCTCTGGTGGGGGTTTCATCCGTCGGGTTCCTCCCCCTTGGTCAGGGTTCGAGATAACAGCATCGCATCACCCTCGATTCTCGCGGGTGACAACAATGTGGGCTGAAGGAGGTCCATGGAGGTGGCATGTGTTACACACCCAAGCCCGGATACATGACCCTGCTGCATCTTATCCGATGACAATGCCTAGCTGGAACCTTGATTTCCCATACTTGACTCCGCAGACTAAAGCACACTTCAATTCCAAGAATGGAGCGAGCTGGTATCTACTATCTATCCATCTATCTTGCTGAATCTACCACTACTAGTGCTAGTCCCCGGTCGGCGCGGACCCCTCGGGGTGGGAGGGTTGAGTGCCTGTGATCTGATCTGCCACTAAGCGGCCTGTTCTGACGGCTTGATGCATATTTCCCGCTTCCTTCGATTCTCCTTTGGAACAATATTCCCAGCTCGGATATCCCATGTAGTGTACAGAGTAGTATCTAGTAGCACTTTTATTGAGCTTCCTCGAATGCAGGTCCACTAGTCCACCACTACTGATATGTATGTTGTCATTCACCACCTGCGGCATACAATCTATCCCTATGACCCTTGCGTGCCCGTAGATAAGGATGCCGCAAGACCCCAAAAGGAGAAATTCCATTAGAAAATAGAACAAAAATATGAGAGCATATTATACCACCCAGTTACGGATATGGAATCCTAGTTTAAGCCTAGAAGCGATGGCGAGCGCGTGAAGGGCTGTCCGTGAAGCCCTTGGCTGGCTGGACTTGCCGAGACCGTATCTTTCTTTATCCCGATGACGCCTGGGCCTTTTCTTGCCCCGGTTAGATAGCACCGTGCAATTCAGCGAACAATGTCATCGGTCGATTAATTTAATATGTACAGACTCCACAGCCGGTGGCAAAATCTCCGCATGGAGATTTCCCCATCGGAACCTGAAAGAGCCATACTATACGTAGATATCTAGTAGCTGCGTGGATAGTACCGGAGGTGGTGGACTATCTGTCTGGGGAGGGAATAGTACATTCCGGGCGCAAATAGAGAGACTAGAGAGCTATTGTTGTGGACCTGGGGATATTGCGGAGTTCAATTTCCGAGCTTACCGGAGCCCTCGTTCCCTCCCACATAGTTACGGTCTCACCTTAAACCCCCTTTTTTTGTTTGGCGGCCCCATGTTGTTTCTCTTGACGGAGACGTGGGTGCCTGACACTGATGAAACACGATGCAGGGCGGCGCGTCCTCTGAAGTGGTGAAGATTCTAGTTAAGCGCTAGTCCAGGGGGTTGCATTTGAGGGGGGGGAAATGATTCTTCTCGGTAGTTATACACTAATGCTGAATAACTCGAGGGGCGCTTGAAAGGGGGGGTTCCTAGCAAGACCGGTTAAATAGGAATGGAAATCTATTCGGGATTACGGGTCTAAAAGCCGGTGTTATTATGCGATCGTGGTGCCAACAGTAATCCCTCCCGAGTTGTTCTTGATACATACCTGGTACCTACATACTTAGGCAGGTACCTTCTTCGCTGGCCATTCCCACGTAGCCTTGCCTTGCCGCGGAGGGATGCCATCCAGAGATGACACGGTCGAGTCATCGTCGTGTTCTTGGGGTACAGTTTGTTATCCGTATGCAAGCCCAGCTGAGAGTTTCGCCTCGTCTTGCGCCTCGCCCCCCCTTGAAGGGAAGTGTTGTTGTTGGCGGAGCCAATGATTCGTCTGAGTCATGAGGCTGATGCAATGCTGTCCTTCCCCCACAAAGTTGAACCCCCCGACTGCGGTCAGTCTGCCCTCACCCGCAACAGGCTGGACGTCATCCCGGCTCTTTTTCGTGTGCTCCAGTCCATCCAGTGGTTTCCGTCAGCAGCCTCATTTAGGTACAGAGTCGGAGGTACCTACGCAAAAACTAGGTTGGCATAAAATAGGAGTAGATAACTCGTCCCATGGGGATGATGATGTATTGGATCTCGCCCATCGTATGACTCTTGGTTCAGCGCAACGGTCTGCCCTACCAGGTCTTTCGCTTTGCACTGTCTATGATCACCGCTCCCGTCACCTCGAGTCACTTGGGAACTCTCATTCGATGTGAGTTCATCTCCCCTGCTGGTTATCTACTTCTCTCAGTACCCAACCATTGCTGAATGATGGTCGATCAGCTGGTCTGGACTGGGCGGTCTCGAAGATCTCGTCGAACAAATTCTTTCCCCGGTAATGCCCCAGACAGGTTGGGGAAATACATACGCACGTAGGAGGGCCAGGAAAATAAAAAAACAAACCACGAAAAATAAATAATTAAAGAAGAAAAGAAAAAATTGAGCAAATTATAAACCATAACCAGAAATGAGTCTTGCATCCGCAGGCACATCATCACCTCATACCTCCATCATCGACAATCATCAAAATGGCATCATTCTAGGGATTCGTTTCGTGTGCGCCTGCCGCACCCCCCCCTTCAATAGAGTAGTAGTAGTGGATAGATGGAGGAATTGGATCGATCTTCCACCTCCGCTTGACCGTATCACGTTTTCGGTCGAGATCAATACACCATAATTACCTACCGCCTAGATAACTTCACACCCCCCACTGGTGATCATGATGATTCGGATTCCTCCCGTGCAAATGATCGATGGCTAGTGAGCATGAACAATCAAGTTAAAAGTAGGGTAGCTATCACATGGATGATGATGATTCTTGGAAAATGCCTACCTCCTGCCTCGCATTATCCGACCGGCGAGACAAATCGCGTAATCAACCGCGCTTGGTCACCACCGGAGTGAACATCATACCGACACCGATGGGGAAACTAAGGTATCTACGCGGTCGCCTATCGAGAAGGATTGTCCAGATCATCCGCGATAGCCGGTGCGAAGTCTGAGACCGGGTTGCTGCTGCTGCTGATGTTCGTGTTCGTGATAGGGTTTCTTACCACTAAGTACTTACTACCACCACCACCTCTACCACCAACCAAAACCCCAATACTGTGCGTACACATAACCAACAACCCCAGAGACCCTCTCCGGGCCTTACAGCTTTACCTTACCGACACCCAACAATACGGGGCACGCACTTCTCCAGACCACACAGCCACTTCTGCAGTTCCAGTTTCTACTCCGTAATCCCTCTTGACTCTAGTCCGCCCCACATTCTTTTTTTTTCTTTAACACGCCTTACCTGTTTTGACACCCTCTCTTCCCGGTCAGTAATAGTGAAATTTTTCTAACACACCGTGCGTGGCCCGAAAACCAGACGGAAGAAGCCCCGAGATAGGCAACTGATGGAGACACCCGTTTGGCAATTCAAGGACTTTAAAGAGAGTATATCCATATATTCATCAAAGAACTCATGTACTGAGTATAAGAGCGGTAGATACCAAGTGATGATAACATCATATATCCAGGCAAGAAATTATAAAAGGATAAGAAGAGTATGAAATGATAACGACAAAGCACTGCGTTCCATCTGACTAGGGAAGCTGACTGACCGGTTTGAATCCCCAAGAAGCAAAGCAGCCGATCTGGTTTAAGCACGTTCTTTTTCCCTTTCCTGCTTTTTTTGCCCCCCCGATATTTATCCCCACACAAAGTACATAGTCTTTTTCTTTTTTCGATTTTTATTTTCCCTTTTTTTATTTTAATCATATTTCCCTTTTCATCGATTTTTTTTATCCATCTTTTTTTTCGATTTTTCAATTTTCTTTTTTTCTTTTTTTTTTTTTTTTTCTTCGCGTTCCCATTCTGCTCTCCGATTCCGATAAACCCACCCCCTCTACGAGTCGCCCTCTTTTCCCTCCCCTCCCCCGAATTCCGTTTCCTTCTTCTTCCCCTCCATTCCTCATCTTTTCGCCCTTCCCGATTTCTTCTCTTCTTATATATTCATCTCCCCAGATCATCTTCTCCAGGTTTTCTTCCTCCCTCCTCTTTTCGAGACTATTTGCTCAACATCACCCTTGTCCGGCTCGCTACTCATCCACCTCCGGGGTCCATTTCCGATTCCGGCTTCACCCAACACTTATCATAAATACCACACATTCCGTATCCCTTCAATAATTGAAAGGGAATTCGTCGTTATCAGCCCTTGGTTGAATTCACAATTGAATATCGCTTCGCCCTGGTTCGTCATCAGGGCCCTGTGATCCTCACTACCCTTGCGGTCTTCCTCCTATCATCTCTCCTTGCCAAGGTTAGGTCTGGGGTGCTAGCGGGTGGTGATCGACTGGCCGATATAGCTACCCCTGGTCGCGACGTGCATCACTATCGCCTCGGCTTCTCATCCCTTCCGAACGTGTCCCTTTTAAACCCGGCTCTGTCCTACCTTTTTACCCTCGTCGGTCTTGGGACAAGCTTCACATGCCGCCACCGGCCTCTTCAGTAGATTTCTCAAATCTGCTGAACCCTCAAAGCAATTCCACTGATTCCACCCCTTCCACCCCTGTGGACAGCTCCAAGACTCCTTCTACTCCGTCCAGTACACAGTCGAACTCCAACATGGCGTCGTCAGTCAGTCTACTTCCGCCGCTCATGAAGGGTGCCCGGCCTGCGACCGAAGAAGTGCGTCAGGATCTTCCCCGCCCTTACAAGTGCCCCCTCTGCGATCGCGCGTTCCACCGTCTGGAGCACCAGACAAGACACATTCGCACGCATACGGGTGAAAAGCCACACGCCTGCCAATTCCCCGGCTGCACTAAGCGCTTCAGTCGTTCGGATGAGCTTACGCGCCACTCGCGAATCCACAACAACCCTAATTCGAGGCGCAGCAACAAGGCTCAGCATCTGGCCGCGGCCGCTGCAGCTGCTGCAGGGCAGGACAACGCCATGGCCAACACCGCCAGCGCTATGATGCCTCCTCCCAGCAAGCCAATGACCCGGTCGGCCCCCGTGTCGCAGGTCGGCTCCCCCGACATTTCTCCCCCTCACTCCTTCTCCAACTACGCCAGTCACATGCGGTCGAACTTGGGCCCGTATGCTCGCAATAGCGAACGGGCATCGTCGGGCATGGACATTAACCTCCTAGCGACGGCTGCGTCGCAGGTGGAACGCGACGAACACTTCAGCTTCCATGCAGGGCCACGCAATCACCATCTGTTCAGCTCACGCCACCATGGAAGTGGCCGTCTGCCCTCTTTGTCTGCTTACGCGATCACACACAACATGAGCCGGTCGCATTCACATGAAGACGACGACGGTTACTCGCACCGTGTGAAACGCTCAAGACCCAACTCTCCCAACTCAACTGCTCCTTCCTCTCCCACCTTCTCTCACGACTCCCTTTCACCCACTCCCGATCACACTCCCTTGGCGACTCCCGCTCACTCACCGCGGTTGAGACCCCTGGGCTCCAGCGATCTGCATTTGCCGTCTATCCGTCATCTGTCGCTCCACCACACACCAGCTCTTGCTCCGATGGAACCACAACCGGAAGGGCCCAACTACTACAGTCCTTCCCAAGGTCACCATGGTCCCAGCATCTCGGACATCATGTCTAAACCGGACGGAACACAGCGCAAGCTGCCAGTCCCTCAGGTGCCGAAAGTCGCCGTTCAGGATATGTTGAATCCTGGTAGTGGATTTTCGTCGGTCACATCGTCGACCGCGAATTCCGTTGCCGGTGGTGACCTGGCCGAACGTTTTTAAGTTCGAACATTCTTCAGCCACACGTTGGTTTGTGTAAAAATTGGGTTCAAAAAATCAGCAGTTCTTTTATGCGCGCTACGACCGAATAGACTTGTGCATTTACAAAGGTTCATGGGCATCATTGGTGTCGGGTGATTGGGTGGTTTTTCTTTCCTCAGCTTTTCTGTTGGATTATCATTCTCATTGTTTTTTCCCCCTACTACTTTTTTTTTTGTTGCAAGGCGTCTCTACTGATAGATGGACGGGATATCCTGTGAATTTGTTCTTTTTGTGTCCCCTCTTCTGATCCTCCTTGCCTCTTTTTTCTTTCATCAAATACTTTTTTTTTTCACCTTTCCCCACAAACTTCCTCTGAAACATCTCCTTCTCTCCACTAAACCTATATCAAGCGAAATTGCTCATCAGCTCTTGTGTTCCCTATTTTCTTCTCTCTTCTCTTCTGAGGCATCAGACCTCCATATTAAATACATGTGTCGAAACACACCACACTTGGTTCGAAGAAGAACATTCTTACCCAGAAATATGTGATTATAGACCTCGAGCAGGATGAGAGGAAGTCACCCTAAAAAATTTTAAATAAGCCTTAATTGGAACATACTACCATCATGGATCATCTACTATAGTACTATCTACTATGTAATAAATTCCCTCCCAGTAGCCAATCAGATCTACACGACATAGGTAGAAATACTTTGGAACGAGTCCACCCCCACGATACACTATACTACTGTGGATAAGATTAATAAATTAAAAATGACGACAAGACCAAACCATGACCATGACCATACATACCCCCGGGAGTCGGAGTCGGCACGTAAGTAGTTAGTTATGTATTGAGTAATCTCAATAAATAAATAAAATAAACTGGATCCCACTGATCACTCTCCCACTGCGTGTGGGTGTATGTGTCTTTGTCTCAGGATAGATTCGGACGCCGATCGTCAGGTCATCATCTTCTTTAGTAGAGTCAGTCGTCGCGTGTGATCAGTCCTCTCTCTCTCTCTCTCTCTCTCTCTCTCCCCCCTGGAAGGTCAGCAGCCAGACAGACCCCTTCTTTCACGTTTATCTTAGCTTCTCAGCTACTCCTTATAGACTTCCGGCTGATCTGATCAGGGATTCTAGGGAGATAGATAGATGGATGTTTGCAAGTCATGGGGACTAAAACTTCCGGTCTAGCAGGTAGATAGTAGTGGTAGTGGGGAGTTCTTTTCTAACCCCGGCGTCTAGTTTTCGCATGTCGGTATGTATTTACTGTATACATCAGTAACAGATGTGATAGATGAATGTTGCACTTTTGGCTATCGGCGTGGTCCGATGCAGGGATGTTTGTGGGGGTGTCAAATAATGGGCTGCCTGAACTATCTGCTACTCCGTACTTTACTGGGATTGCGTCAGATAGAAATTAGATAGATACAGCACAGACTAGAATGATGCCATCGGTTCATTTTCAACCCTGATTCCCGACCATAAAGTGATAGACTCCAAGTAGAAAGACAGTGCTGATGGGGGGAAGTTGATGAACTGTTCCGAGTGGTCAGTCAGTCAGTCAGTAAGTTTGCTCAGTTGCAGATGTTACTAAATATGTCAATTTTGAATGTAAGTTGAAGAGAAGAGTAAGGAAAGGAAGGGGAAAAAGCAAACAAGCCAAGCAAGCGGGTGGTGGATGTCGTGGAGGCATGTTGCTGGTCTTATCCACGGAATGGTATTCGCACATCTCTCCCTCTCTCTTTCTCCACATAACCCGGACAGGGCTGGATGGGCTTTGCTGGCTGCCAGTCCACTAGATAGGTAGTAGGTCGTAGTCTATTTGATTCTGGTTTGTTGAAATTTGACTGCTCACCGAAGCCACTAATCATCGTTGACGGGCTTTTCCGGGATTTCTCCCCCCTCCTTGTGCTTCTTCTCTGCAATTCTCCTCCATCCTTCGTTCCATCATCGCTACTTTTCCCTTAATTTTCCCTTCCCCGCCATGTGCCCTCTGGAGCCTCAAACCCACCATGGCCGTCGCTGAACCGCCCTCCACCTTCTCTTCCCCGGCAAGGTTGGTCGCGCTGTGATGCTCTGGTCCATTCTTCGGTGCTTCGTCGCTGAATGACTATGTCTGGATTACCTTGGTAAAAATTTGGAGATAATATAAAAAAGAAGGTAATGAATGGCCTCTCTTCTCATGGGAAATACTTGCTTCACTCCCGTTCCCCATCTTCTCCCCCGCTTTTCAAGCAGGGGAATGGTGACAAGCTTCACAGCCATGACTGGCTCTGTGTCTTCCCTCAGCTGCACACAGACTAAGCATGTGGGAAACAGGCTCTTCTCGACCACTTTTCTCGAACGGGATCACTTTTTCGTTGTTGCCCATCTCGGGGCGCTTCTGGCGTGCCTCGGCGGTTTATCAGGAACTTCGGGATAATTCCAGCTGCGCGCGCATTTGAATTTTCGACCCTCCAGGGGAAAGGAGAGAGAAAGAGTGAGCTCTAGTTCTATAGAGCCAGAGTGAAGGCGTCGTCTTGAGGAAACGAAAATGCCCCCGTCAACAGCTGTCCCCTCCTTATCGAACGACACTGCCTCGACGCCTGCATCCTCGTCAAGCGCATCCTTGGACACAAGATGGGCGTCCGGGCTCGCAGGTCATGAGATCCTCGAGGATGATGGAACCGGGGCCCTCATCGTTCCAGCTCACACTGATCATCGCACCACCCCCTATACTTATATCTGTTTGTTCCATCTCCTTGACTGTCACATCACGTTTGACAATGCCGAGGACTGGAGACTCCATGTCTTCAGCCATTTTCGCACACACGAACCTCCCAAGACAGCGCGCTGTCCCCTGTGTCCTGGGGAACGGTTTACCGATACCGCTGAAACGAGAGCATGGGATGCAATGCTCGACCACGTTGATGTGGCCCACTACCAGCAGGGCCAGACTCTGGCCGGCAGTCGGCCTGACTTTGAACTGATGCAGTACCTGTATGGCCTGAGGATCATCAGCGTAGATCAGTTCAAAGTGATGCAGCTCCCGCCGCCACCTTCGAGCCCTGCGTACCATCAGTCGCAGGAACCAGTTCGTGCAAGTATCGGCTCTTCCGATGAGCCCTACTGTGCTCCGTATAGTCGGCGACGCGAGGAGAGAATGCGTAATCAGCGTCGAGGGGTTAGTGTCGCTTGATTGGCTGCGATTAGCTGCACTTCTTCATCTTGTCTCATCTAAGCTCATTGCTATGTTCTCTTCTGCTCATGTCGTTTATAAGTTTTACCGAGTCGTGTATTATCAGCGATAGCCTTAAAAGCAACCAAATTGGTATCGTGAGGGGTACCATGGTTTATGATTATATGTTGCGTTCCAATGTCTTCAATAGCAATTGATAGGTATACCTTTAAGAGATATTTATTACCTGATTTTCGCCCCTAGGCACTTAGTAGCGGCAGGAAGGTAGCATCGTTATTGTCGCATCGTTCCTGCCTGGTAGGAAGCCAGCTAGAACGTAGATTTAGTATAGATACTCCCCTGACCTGCAAGAGTTTTGCACTCGGTTCAATGATAGTATAACAGAATCATCTTATCATCTGTCAGGAACCAGTGTGATCGTGAGCCGAGACACTAGTATATACTACTGGCATCATCACCGGTATTCCACCATAGGTGTTGGCCACAATGGGAGGAGCGGTAATGCGCGTTGCCCTAACTCATGGGTAAATCACTAGGAAAATTATCACATAGTGTCTCATCCCCTTTAGCAATTACCGCAACCAAAAATTATTGACTGTTGAGGTTTGTCGAGTCTGTCCTGCGATCCATTGATGGAGCAATGAAACAAACAGAACAAACACCCACCAACCCGTCACTGACTTCCTTCGATCGGCCGCAGCAGCAATGCAATGGCTACCTGTCTTTCCATATACACCCACCTCTGGCTTGGAGCCCGCTACTGAATCAAACATGGAACGCCTTCCGATGAATGAGAACCCGGCCGGTGCCCACCATGGCAATGCGCCGCAGGGCTTCCCCCCGCAGAACAACACGCTCGGACCCATGTCGCAAGGTCCCCCGCAATTACCGCCGCAGATGTTCACCACTGCTGCCCAGCTGTTGGATTTGACAGATAGTACGTGATACTACTTTACTTGACCCCCATGGGCTTATGTCACAAACGAAATTGACCCGACCTAACAATGGTTTCCAGAGAAGCTAGTTCTAGTCCTTCGAGACGGGAGGAAGTTGATCGGAGTTCTGAGAAGCTGGGATCAGTTCGGTATGCGCTGCATGATCAACACATTTTGATGATGGGTATATATCTAACCATGCGACCCTTGCTATGTGACTGCTGCAGCAAATCTCGTCCTTCAAGATACCATTGAACGTCTATATGCCGGCAACCTCTACGCCGATATCCCGCGCGGTATATTCCTCGTTCGGGGTGAGAATGTCTTGCTTCTTGGTGAAATTGTACGCAAATCTTCCATCTATCTTCTTCGCTATTCATGTTCAGGGCCGGGGGTTGGCTAATTGATGTCCTTTGCTTTTCCGGGTTACAGGATCTCGACAAAGAAGATGATATCCCCCCTCATATCCAGCGCGCATCGTTCCAGGAAGTGTTTGAGCTGAAGAAGAAGGAAGACGGAGCCCGGAAAGTTGGCGACAAGAAGCGCCATGGGAAGCTACAGACGCTGGGCTTTGAGCCGGAGCATAGCGGAGAGATACTGTTTTAGACACGATGTCTGCTTCAGTCTTTCTCCCTTTCCTGCATCCGTGCTAGATCTGTCGCGTCCCAACCAGGGAATCGTAAAGCGACGCGACACGAGACATTTGGTTGATGTGTGATGGGCTATGCGGCCTCAAGGCATCAGTTGACACTTGGTCCGTTTGAAATGCCCTCCGGGACCGTTCGCCAGAGTCAGGTGGTATCGTGGCTCAATAGAGTGGCGGCGGAGGTGAAGGATCTGCTGTGAGGAGGTGTGCGATAGGAAAGAGACTGAGAGAGAGGAAGAGGAGTTCCACCGGGAAGCCTGTGGGAGCGCACAACAAGACTGGAGGATGGTCGACACAACGGGTGCGCGGACGGCTTCGGAGTAGATCCCAGCTTGTCTCCAGCAGAAAGAGAGTCTGATCAAGGCGTGTGTGGTT